ACTCTTTCCACGGTGGCTTAAAACGTAGCATAAGCCTTATACCACAATCCCAGGGGAGGCAGCATCATTAAATATTCAGCTGCATTTCTTAGAGATTAGTGCATGTCCAACAAGATTCATGAGTGGTGAGCTTGCTGGTTTCTGTCTTTCCTCAAGTTGCAAATTAAGCAGGAAGTGAAATTTCCATGTGTACTTCAGTGGGGACCCGCAGTCTACTTGAGTCACAATCAGACGGAGGTTGTTGCTGAAGGAAAGTACCACAAAACTATATACCAGGGTGGGGAACCTTTTTTAGGTCAGGGGTAGCTGACCCACAGAAAAATCAATCAGGTGGGGGGGGGTAGCGGGGGCTGGAGTGGCAGTGAGGGCTCCCCAGTACCGGGCGGGGGAAAGGAGCTCTGAGCCCCAGGGGCCAGATCCAGGCAAGCTAGGGACCAAATCTGGCCCCTAGGTCTGAGGTTCCCCACCCCTGCTAAATACAGTACCACAGGTTGTGATACTTATAGAAACCAAGGACAGCATCAACTCTGAAAATACCCTTTGCAGGGCAAAAACCTTTTCTTTTTTTTCCCCTTTTATAAAACTGAATAGAGTTTCATTTAGAAACACTTGCTCTTGGGTAAAAGCAAGCATGAATATTTTTTTTTTAAAGCAAATGAGCATGATTTAATTTACCTTAATTAGCATTGCTGTTTTGCTCTACATTTGTCATAATGGTTGCAACGCACACAGATAGGTGCCGCAGTCCAAAACTTAATGACAGTTGTAGAAATGTGATTGACACGTGGCAATCTCAGCATGGCAGTTAAATGTGTAACATAGCAAAACTGGCAGAGATGGAAAAGGAACAGCATGTAGTGTACTTGATGGCGACTTGTGCGTTTGTACAATGGCATGTCAGTGTATGAGGGGAAATGTTGAAAAAATGATTTAAGGTGCCTCTTTAAATTTGAAAAAACCCAAGTTATGCTCACAAAAATATTACAGAATAACTACCTCCTCACGTGAGGCCAGGACCTTCATAAATAAATAAATACTCCATTTATGGAATTCTTTCTGTTAATCTATGCTCAGAGCATTACTCTGTGGTTTCTTTTGCAGGCAGGGATAGACCATGTAGGAGAGCAGAAGTGTCAGTCTTCACATGGGAAGTAGTTTTGTTTTAATGTATTCTGAAAGGAGTAGAGGTTGTTTTAATTCAATCTGAAAGGAATAGAGTTTGCCCCTCAATAGAAGAAGATAAAAATTGGCTTGCACCCTTCAAAAATTTTTGGATTTTGATGGGATGTGCTGGGGACAAAGGACTTTTACAGAGAGATCCTTTGCCTTCACATTGCTGCTTGGATTCCTGGTATTTTGCAGCTCTTGGACAACACGTCTCATAAGGAACCTGCAGTAGGAACCAGAGTGGTGCCCCGAGAACACTCTTGCCCCTCAAAAATTGTGGAGATAATTTATTACAGGCCATCTGCAGTAACTTGTGCTAGCTATTTGGGGCTTCAGGAAGAATGATCGTCAAGGAGGGGCTTCTGTGGATGTGGGAACAGAGAATGACAGTCAGTAGAGTAATAATAGCTATCTCTTACCTAGTGCTTTTCATCCAGATATCTCAACGTGCTTTGCAAAAGAGGTCAGCATCATCCCCATTTTACAGATGGGGAAAGTGAGGCACAGAGTGGGGTAGGTGACTTGCCCCAGGTCACCTCGCCGGCCAGTGGCAATGCTGACACTCAAACCATAGTCCTGGTCTGTTACTCTGGTCTGTTAACAGGAGAAATACTACTGAGTGGTGGGATACACGTGAAAATGTTCAGGGAGGCAAGGGCACTATTTACACAATAAACAGTGAAAGAATGCTGCATCTGTACTGATACTTACTCCCTTTTAGAGGTGTATAAAATAGGGCACAGTCCTGCCTCCACTGTAATCAGTAGGAATTTTGCCATTGACTTCAGTGGAGGCAGGAGCAGTTCCACAGGGTGCTGCTAGTGGTGCGTGTGTGTGTTCGTGTTCGTTCGTTCGGTTTGTGAGGTACATGGCCAGCTATACTCACCTCTGTGCCCAGGGTACTCACACTTGTTAACATAACTGCCTTTCTGCTTCAGATAAATGCAAAGATCGTTTGGGATGCACTAGTGTGAAGGCTGCATTTTTGGGTCTAGTTGAGTGGGGACTTGAACACAGGGCATAGCTGGAAAGCAGCTTCATTTTCTCTAATTGGCTAAACTTTCCAGCGCTAATGTGTATTCTTGAAAGCTGAGATGCTGGCAACAGAAGTTTATGTAACGTGAGACTGAACCTATTTTCTTGGGGTGCTCTTTGCAAGGAGAAAAGTTGGGCCTGCCTTTTATTGTCAGATCTGGTCTCTAAGGGTATTTCTCCACAGCAGCGTTATTTCAGAATAACTGACGTTATTTCAAAATAGCGAAGAGCACGGCTACACTACAGGCCTTTAATTTGAAATAATGCTGAGTTGGAGGATTTTTTTACTCTGACTCATGGTAACTCTCCTTTCACAAGAAGTAAGGGAAGTCAAAGGAAGAGTGTTTCTATACTACAGGCCTTTAATTCGAAATAATGCTGAGTTGGAGGACTTTTTACTCTGACTCATGGTAACTCTCCTTTCACAAGAAGTAAGGGAAGTCAAAGGAAGAGTGTTCTTCCTTTGACTTCCTACTATGTTGACAGCACCAAAAAGCCAAATTACACCATTTCACCTTAAGATACGCAATTGACGTAGCTGAAGTTGCGTAGCTTAATTCGACTTTAGCCCTGTTGTGTAGACGTACCCTAAATGTGCTGGATTACTGAAGAAAGACCATAGGGAGGAACCTGGCAGTGGGAGGGGGGAATAGTGCTTTCTGTTGCTCTCTGTTAAATCTTCTCCCCAACCAAGCAGCAGCATTCATGTATTTAGAAGATATTCTCACTTGTTTACAGTGGGGATGAGGAGATTCAGTTACTATTCTGAAATTGACTTGAGCAGGAGTAGAAGATTTCAATTTCTTTACTTTTACAATCATACCGCTCTAGTACTGTCTTCTTCGGAATGACTCAGTGCAGCAAGGGGTGGGGGGGCAACAAATTTCATTTGGGAGGGACCACAGACTGAATCCACAAAACGTAAACCGAAGCCTTGTTGTTCATTTAAGGAAAGTAGATTTCTCTTTTACAACTTTACAGATAAAAGAATGACGAGAAATAAGTATTCCTAATGACCTTGTCATGAATCTTACATACATTTGGTGTAAATTAGAAGTGTCTCCACTGAAGGTAATGGAGCTAGCCATGTTTAAAACTAGGGCCAGTGAGCTAAAAAGTTGGACCATTGGTGTAACTCCAAGAAAGTCGATAGTTGTCCCAACTCAGAGTTACATCCATGTTACTGAGAGCAGAATTTAGCCCATTGATTTTAGGTACGTTTTTTTATTCTTTTTTTTTTTTTTTAAATAGCACAGTTATCTGAAATTAATGGTGTGGTTCATAGTTTATGTGAATCCAGTTTCATAAGCCGTAAAGATGAAGGCAGGTAAGTGGTAATGGCACTTTGGTGTTGATGTAGCTTTCCTGTTGCAACCCATTAAAATCCATCAAGTAATCAAAGCTTGGTTTGTTAAATAAACACAGGCAGTATTTAGCTGAATAACATTCTTAAATGTTTCATTTTCTTCAAAGGGGTCTCTGATTTCTTTCCCATTTTATTTTGTGCAGATCTGCAGCCTGTTACCTACTGCGAGCCAGCTTTCTGGTGCTCTATATCCTACTATGAACTCAACCAGCGAGTAGGAGAGACGTTTCATGCTTCACAGCCTTCTATGACTGTGGATGGCTTCACCGATCCTTCTAACTCAGAACGCTTCTGTCTTGGCTTATTGTCTAATGTGAACAGAAATGCAGCAGTGGAGCTCACAAGACGACACATTGGTAATGCCTGGGTTTTTTTGTTGTTGTTGCCATCAGTTGAGTGGGAGTGGAAGGTGTAGAAGGATACCGAGTGCAAAAGATTAGATCAGCCATCTGTGTAGCTTGATCAGTTTTAGTTAAGTATCTTCATTATTTTAACTTATTAAAATTCCCTAATAGAAAAGTAAAACTAAGGTTACAATGGTAAAATAAAAAGATGGTTAGAATAAGATTAGTTATATGTAATACAATTTGAATTGCATCCCTCTGTAAGAAACTTTTTTTTATAAGTTTTATGAGTTATCTCTTGTGTTTTTTAAAAACGAATAGTCCTTGTGTTTGTACTCTTTCTAGCATCTTCTCTCATGAATAGAAAGCAGTGGCTTGATCCAAATTCCTATAGAATTAATGGAAAGACCACCCCTCTCATTGATTCAGTGGGCTGTATCTAGATTTGTATAAGATCATTCATCACTTACATGTGTTTTAAACCAGTATGACTCCATTTCCTTCAGTGGAGCTATTCCTGATATGCACCATGGAATCATGTCCTGACAGAACGACATGTTAAATAACAAGTTAGGGCCCAATTTTGTCTGTGTTTAAATTAGTGTAAAAATTAGTGGCGTTGTCCCAGATTTACACCGGTGTAAGTGAGGGCAGTATTAGGCAATTCTTATGTGACTCAATGGTACAAGTTTGTTTCCCTGCCTTCTGCCAAAATACCAAACCGTCTTCCCGCGGATTTGTTCTTCTTTGTCTCATTCTTTGGGGCAGACCAGTGGCTCCTTCACTTAGCCAGTGTTTAATTTTTTCATTACTGAAATGGTTCCTGATGTGAGAAATGTCAGGAATCTCAACTTAACCCTAGATTCAGCAGGTTCCATGTGCTTAAAGCAAGACAGAATGCAAGGTGCAAAGTTTCACACTAGCAGTGTAAGAGCACAGCAGAGGGATACATGAAACTTAGGACTTTTGAACCCAATTTGTATTTATTACATTCATTTATGTATTTCCCATGGGAATTTATATATTAAGCATTTTCTATAAGGAAAGTGAATGTGATCTCAGGCTAAATGCAACAGTTGAGAAGCATTACATAAATCAGTTTAAAATGGTTCCATACATCTGTGGGGACTTAGGAGGAGGTTGAAAATCATATGTTGAACTGATGGAAAGTTTATAGACTCTCAGAGTGGCTAAGGAGAGTACTTCTCAAAGTGGCGGATTTGTGAAGTGCTTGTTTCAAACAGTAATGTGGCTGGAGAATGGGCTTCTGGGTTCATAAATTGCTCTTCCATTTCACTCATCTCCCTCAGCTTGAAGTCCTCAAGAAGTTTGTTCCCGCCATCCATTGAAAAAAGAATTACAATTTGTATTTTCCAGCATGACTGACCTTGTTTGATTCCTCTCTTTCTGATTCAGAATAAACCAGATTTCTAAAAACTCTTCTTCCAAGAGTTTGAGGTTTTCAAGATGAATATTTTCTACATGCTTCATTGCAGACTACTGACTAAACTGAAACACTGCCATGTGTTTTCTAGGAAGAGGAGTAAGGCTGTACTACATTGGAGGAGAGGTTTTTGCCGAGTGCCTTAGTGACAGTGCCATTTTTGTCCAGTCTCCTAATTGTAACCAACGCTATGGCTGGCACCCTGCAACTGTTTGCAAGATTCCACCAGGTAACCAATCATGGGCAGATTCACTCAGCTGTATGCATTACCCTACATAGTATTTACATGTGAAGAATGGGAGGGCTGCATACAGAAGTTGAGCTATTGAACTAAGGGTACGTCTATACTGCGTGGCTATTTCAGGATACTAGAGGTATCCCAAAATAGCTACTCTGCTTCTACATAAGCCACCTGTTATTTTAAAATATTTTTTTAAATAACTGGTGCACTATTTCGCCATCCTGGTAAACCTTGTGGCACGAGGGATAAGGAATGGATTGAAATAGTGTGTTATTTCGAAATTTGGTGCTGTGTAGACGCACCAAATTTCTAAATAAGCTATTTCGAAATAGATTTGAAATAAGATATGCAATTTGCGTAGCACCAATTGCATCTCTCTTTTTTGAGTTTAGTGTGCTATGTAGACACACTCTTAATGAACCGGATTTGATTAATGCTGTTTTTTCAGTAATCAGACATCTAAAACCTATTTTATTCCAGCTCTACCACTTCATGGAGTAGTGAAGGAGTAGTGCTCCTTGGTAGCATGAAGGAGAATGTTACTGTTATGAGTGTTTGTACTGGATAGCCAGCCGTCACTAAAGTCCCAATTCATAAAGGTATACGTTCAGGGACCTTTCAGTAGATTCTGATTCATGTAAGCAAGAACACATTCTGGCTCCTAGTCTGTGTAGAGCCCTGCATGGATACTAATGTATACTCACGGATAGGAAGATCTATGGATATACATCGGTATCTACAGGGCTCTCCTGGCAACTGCAATGGCAAAAGAAGCAGACCATAGAGCTGCTGCTCCCAGGAGTCAACGCCCCATATCAGCATCTCCTCTGTCATGGCTGCACTGCCTCCAGTCCTACCCTCCTCTCTTCACACAGCAGTATGTATCTCCTGTCCAGGAGTGTGCCAAAGAACCTTGTGTCCTGGCTGCTGGTGGGACAGCTGCACCGGAGGAGCTACCGGCTTGGGATGCTGGCTCCTGAGAGTGACAGCTCCGCATTCTGCTCCTCTTGCCACTGTGGTTCCTGGGAGAGCCTTGTGGTTATGCGGATGCAGATTTCTATGTGTATCTGCAGGCAAACATTTGTGCCTGCGCAGGGCTCGATGGATGAATTTTGCAAACTATTTGTACTATACAAATAAGTAATACAACAATGGTGGTAAATGTTCATTTGTAAACCTTTTGCTACATGAATGTATGAAGAAAATCCTTTTAATTTAGATTAGTTATAGAAATGTAGCCGTGTTAGTCTGGTGTAGCTGAAACAAAAAGCAGGACTATGTAGCACTTTAAAGACTAACAAGATGGTTTATTAGATGCTCATCACCTAATAAACGTGGAACAAGGTTTACCACCCAATTCGATTTAGGGGCTTTATTCCGGAATCTCGTTTCACTGCCGCACGTAGACGCGGACAGTTACTTAGGGCTAGTCAATGTCTAAAATGGCGACTGGCCGGAAACATGCAAATCAAGCGCAGGATATTTAAATCCCAGGCTTGATTTGCAATTCCGGTCGCTCTCAATAGCCTCCCTAGATTGATCTAGGGGGCTAGTGTAGACGTACCCTTCCTGATCTAGGGATGTTGGCAATCATGTAGTTGATAGAAATTCTTTTGACTACACTATTAGTTTGTAAGGGAGGAAGCCTCTTGGAGCTACCTCCCTGCTGCGGCTCTAAAGTAGTAAGAGGCAGGCAGACGGGCAGGCTGCCCGGCTCCTACTGCATTTAAACTGCAGAGCCATAGTGGGGGTACTTCCCAGATCCGCCATGAGCTGGGATTGAGCTGGGTTTGCTCATTCCCAGCTCGTGCTGAGTCCAGCAGCCCCTGTCTGCTGGGGGTTCTAGTGGTGAGCTGGGGACCCCGTGGACAGGGGCTGCTGCTGGAGCAGCCTCTGCCAGCAGCCAGTCCTGACCATCACAAACAGAGGCTGCCCTGGCAGTAGCCCCTTTCTGTGGTGGCCTGGGCGGGCTGCTGGCAGAGGCTGCTGCTAAAGCAGCCCCTATTCGTGGCCAGCCCCAGCCACCGTGAACAGAGGCTGCCCCGGCAGCAGCCCTTGTCTGCAGAGGCTGGGTTTGGCCACAAGCAGGAATTGCTCTGTGGGATGCAGAGCAGCCTCTGCAGCGAGCCTGAGCCTACCATAGGCAGAGTCTGCTTTGTGGCAGCCTCCCCTGCTTCCCCCCCATGCTGCTGCCTCTAATAGAGGCAGTGTGGGGGAGGCATGCGACACCACAGAGATGGTGCTGGGGGGAGCCGAACATAAGCTTCCATACACTTCTCAGGAAGATTTGATCTAGCATGACCTGCTCCTTGATTTTTCTCAATGGAAAACTTAGACTCAGCCAATGAGTAGCCAGGTTCTATGACCCCTATATGTGGACATGCTCCTAGCAAAAATGGTTTGATCCCCAAACAGAAGACAGTATCAGTTATGGTCAGGCTCACAAAGCATGCACAAATGTGTTTGTTTGTTTTTGGTTTGTTTTACCACTTAATCTTCATCTTGATTCAAGCTGTTACTTTTCAAATGAATCCTACTTACATGCCAAATTTGTAAGTTCAGGTATTTAAGTTTTCTGGTTTAAAAAAACAAGTGTGGCAATAATTTGTATACTGGGGAAATTTGATTATCTGAATGGATTCTTCTTTAGGTTTCAGCTGGGACTAAGCATGCAAAATTTCAATTTGAAAGGGAAAATCTTCAGATTGGTATGAAGAAGTGAAAAGAGGGTTATAACTGAAGCAGTTAGTCATTCTTAACTCTAGTACTTATTACCAACCTATATAGTATAGGCCTGACATCTGGCTTTTGACAGCAAGAGCTATTTTTGCAACTGGCTGTACATAGAGGATGGTGTGATGACTTCTGCTAATGGATATTATTTAAATTCAGCTTCATTTTTTTGTTTTTGTTTTTAGCTTGTATGTTTCTATTAATTCCTTCATTACTCTTGAGCAAAATTAGCAGATATTAAGATTAAGATTGTAGTCAGTGTTTGCACTGTAATACTGCAGAGATGAATGTGCTGACTGTAGTGCACCTTCTTTAGCCTTTGGAGGTAAAAGGAAGTGCCGTGTGGTGATACAGTCCATTTCAGTCCACAGAAACATGCTTAGGGGGCACTAGAGTTCAGCATTGTGGCCCATAACTTGACATTTCCTTTTAGAGTTTGAATAGTGGGGTGTTGCATTTATAACTTAACTTAATTTCTTTTTAGAAGCTCTATTTATGCAAACTGTCTGTAATGTAATATAGTTTGGGGCTAGGGAAAGTAGAGTTAAGTGGTTTCTTTCCTTAGGCAGAAAAATGGGATTTCTTAATTTAGTCACACTAATACCATGTTGTCATGTTCTTTCTCTGACAGGGTGTAACTTGAAGATTTTTAACAACCAGGAATTTGCAGCCCTCTTGGCTCAGTCTGTGAATCAGGGTTTCGAGGCTGTGTATCAGCTGACCAGAATGTGTACAATCCGAATGAGCTTTGTCAAGGGCTGGGGAGCTGAATACAGGTCAGATCTTTTGTCTTCAACTTTCAGTAGACTGCACATTTGTGCTTATCACCAATCATGCATACTACAGTCCTTGATTCTGGGAGTCCAGTGCTCAACAAGGCATTTCTGTGCAGTTTATAGAGTGGGAGAGTAAGCCAGCCAGTAGTTTATTAAAACAGATAGAATGCATTTTTCAGGGATGTGTTTTTCAACTGTTTTAATTATTTTTCCATATCTGGAGAAATGAGCAGAAAAAGCAGATCAATCCTATACAATATAAGCTGCACCATTCCTCACTAGTAGGATGTGTGTCTTGTTACAGCATCATACAGTACAGGATCTTTAAATGGAGCTTAACTATAGGTAAATCCAGATGGACATCGAAAGAAAAATTGTAAGTTATTCCTTGGATGGCTGGAGATTCTAATGGGGAGAATCACTGCGAGCATTTATTATTGGATTAGGTTTAGCCTTGACATTTCTTTTATCAGGTGCTTTGTGGGATTAAATAGAAAGCAGATGGTCTGGAAATTTACATTTTAGATATTGGCTAGGGTTGTTCAAAAAATTATGGTAAAATCTAATTCTTCTTGCTCCATTCGCAGTGCCAGCCATATGGTTGTAGTTGTTTAAATAGCCTTGTAATTACTGACCTGGCTTACCATCCTTTACCTAACTATAGGAGTACTAAGGGGATAAAGTAAAAATGACCACTCTGTAGTTTGGATTTGCAGTGTGGTGTTCCCCAACACTACAGGGTCATACAGAGAGCACAGGTTAATAAACAAATATGCCAGAGCTTGTACTACCATCCTGAATAGTATTGTTTTTATTAAGTAAACAGAGCTTACACACAACTCATAAATGGTGAAAAGGTGGTACTTGCTAAATGCCAAATGGGAGAAACAAAATTGGTCAGAAAATAAAGGACGTTTTGTGGCAGAAAAACATATAAAGGATTAAAACAAGAGTTGCTTTTAAACATAATTATTTGATGGTGTCCCTTTAAATCTGCAGCCTTAATTAAAGATTCCATGGTGAGATGTACCACCTATGGATATGCTTGCAAACATGCCTGGCTGGTTTGTCTTTACAATCTCCTGCAGCAAAGGGAGTTGGGGGGGGGGGGGGAGGATGATGCTATAGTATCAGCTGGAGCCCATACCTCTCACGTTACTCTCCCACATCCTTCATCTCTCCAGATGTTTGGAGTCCATTTTGTTCTGAAATCTTCTGCACCCAGGCCAGACCATTTCAGCTGTGGCTCCCAGCCATGGTCTCTAATGAAATCCAGATGAGCATGACTACAGGAAGTAAGCTATCTCATTGGAGTATTGTAGTCAGTGAAACTCTGTGCTCACATTTACTGTCATGAAGCCCAACTTTTGCTTCCGTGCCACGAGAAATTACATACAATTGTCTTTGTCAGAGTACAGTTATTTGTTGAACTGATTCATCTGAAAAGTTCATTGAAAGCTGCATCCAATGCATTGTTTCAGTCATTTATGCTTTAGCTGCTTAAGCAGTTGAGCAATCTATTGGCAGGATGTTTGAGTGCTTTTGTGTTCCAGCAATCAGGGGGGCAGTTGCATAAGAAGTCCATGATACACAGGCTCTTCTCTAAAGCAGGCAAGCCAGAAAGCAACAGAAGGCTTCCCAGGCATGATGTACTGAAATACATCTTCAAGCTGATGTTCTGTCAGAGAAGTCTGATTGTCTTAATAGAATGTCAAAATAAAGCATAATGTTACAGAATGGGGACAGGAGGAAACAGAATGCTAAAGAATAGATTTATGTGTAATGGTGCTGTGCCTTTTTTGGTGCGTTCTTTGTCAGCCAGTGTTTGAGAAGTAGATGAGCATGTTCAGTGGGTGCGTTTTAATTTCATGCTGGCTAAGAGGGGGTGTATGCTTCACGGTAATGTTCGAGTGAGCAAGAGGTGCTGCATTCTCCCTGGCAGTCCTTCTGTCCAGGTGGCTCAGGAGGCATCCTTTAGTACAAAAGATTCACCCTTGGGCCATGCTACAAGGTAAACTCTGCCCATACACCCACTCTTGTGGCTACACACAGTGTGCCACCAATTTTGGTCAGCCAGACTTGATCTGGGAATGGGTGTGGTGCCTTCCAGACAGTCTCTCCATTTTAAGATCAGAAGGTAATGCGTGTACATTCATAGACAGAATAGGTTGCAGCTCTCACTTAAGTAGGCAGCTAAGAAGGGGTCTTCTCACGGTTAATCTACAGCTCAAATAGTTGTTCCACAATGCATTGAGCAGCCCCTGAATACTGGCAGCAGCTTTTCCCCAGGACCACTGAGGCTTTGGCTTCCCCCGCATGAAACGATTAACCCTTATTGCTCTGAAGATGGGCTGTAAGCTGAGATATAGAGTGTGCTTATTTCCAGCCTCTCCCTCTTCTTCCTTCTTTTCTTCAACAGTCTCCTAGCCCCAGAACAAGCCCCTAAGCTTTTCCTTGATGAAAAGCTAACTTGCTGCTTTCAGGCAAGAGGAGAGATTTCTGCACACTCAGTCCATGGCCTAGCCTGTCCCTTGGCCTTCCCCTCCCGGGTCCACGACCTCATGCCTTCTGGAGGCACATCGCCTACTCCAAATGGCACCTGGCCTGTAGGGGAAGGGTTTAGAAGGAGGGCAGGTTGATGGGGGTGTGGGGGGAGGGGGGAGGCGAGGAAGGACAAAATAGTAGTTTCACTAGGCAGCAGCTCTGGCTAAGCCTTCTCTTCGCCCCTTCCCCCACCCCCACTGCCAACGACAGCTTCTACTTCTCAGCTCTTGAATTGTTTAGATTAGGTCAGTGGCATCCTATAAGTTAATGACGTGTTTCTGAAATACCTACTGGTCTCATGCGTGTGTATATATAATATACATTTATTTTTACAGTGCTTGCCAGTTCTGCTTCTTAGCTGCTCCTTTTGTTAAGTTGGTCAAATTCCAACTTTTCTCCTCCCCACAATGTTCCTGGAAACAGCATAATCACACCAATTATGGCAGCTGCAGGGGCTCTAAGCCTTTGGAGAGGGGAAGGGTGGGAAATACAGAGATCCAGTGCATAAGTCTGAACCCCCCTCTGCACACGGCCAGGTATTCTCTGCAGAGTGGGTGTAGATGTCAGTGGAGGGTGACTGGGTGAGATCCCAATAAATCTTTCCAAAATTCTGCCTTATCTGAACTTTAACCAGATGCTAAAACCTAATTCTTTGGTTGAGTGAGTATCCTGATTTTTATTTTAAATTACACACGTATGAAGTGTTAGCTCAGTCTAATTATGAGAGGCAAGGTCTGTGAAAGGCATTTAGACAGTAGCCTTTCTTTTTATCTAGAGGATCAAATATTGCCTTCTTTTAGAAGTCTTTAAGCATAAGTAGATGCTATTGCAGTTGTCTCCTGCCATGATCATAAAAGCATATGGAAAGGGGCAAAGGATTTTTCTGGGGAGGGGGTATTTAAAAAAAAAAAATTTGGCAGCATATGCACAAAACATCTTATAGAGAAGAAAGACATTCCTTTGGAGTAACATGCAGGATTATTATCTAAGCAGGAAAGAATGTTCAAATTTGTAAAGTTTTATAAGTTACATTTCTGTTCTGTTGTGTTTTTTTATTGTTCTTCTAGGCGGCAGACTGTAACCAGTACCCCCTGCTGGATTGAACTGCATCTGAATGGCCCATTGCAATGGCTAGACAAGGTCCTTACTCAAATGGGTTCCCCAAGCATTCGTTGTTCCAGTGTATCTTAAGGAAATGGTCTCCTTGCGGGGAAAACAAGGACTCTGGAATATGGAATCAGGTTAACCCTTGGCAAAAAGCGTCATAAATAAATTCCCCAGAGTAGTTACATGATCAGAAAAACATCAATTGCCAAAACAAGAGGTTGTTTTTAAATGAAGTGTCCATTTTAAGCCACTTCCCTGGAACACCGTTAACACATAGTATAGGCCATTGGAGGAAGAATTTGAAGCTGATGTTTTTATGCTAAGAACATGGACTTCTGTTTTAGTGGAGTGAAGCAAGCACTCTTCATTTAAATCCTTGTTGTGCCTATGTTGCTTCTGCTATGTACAGCTCCAAGTACGGGAAAGCTGCTTTCACCAGGTGCTCACTGGGCTAGGGGCGGTTTTTCCATGTGTGTTACAGAACATCAGCCGTAGCACCTCTGTACAGCAGATACCATTGAACATTCCCGCCAAGCCTTACTTCTGCATTACTCTCCAACTGCCTGACAGCCATGTCTGCCCTTTCTAAATCAGCCCACAGCAACAGTGGGGCAGAGGTGTTAAATAAAAACAACACACTCTCTCACAAGAGAGAGCCCTCCTGCAAAGCGCTGAGGAGTCCCCCAGAGGGAGTTTCCCTTGTCAGACAGTGGGCAGTGAGGCAGGCCTGGCTTTCTGTGCAAGATACACAGGTAATACCACAGTAATGTTAGAGACTGGATGTATGGGCAGCAAAAGACCTATGTTAAGATTTGTTTTAATGTCGCTGCAGTGCTATTGATTGACTAGGGCAAGTTTCAGACGAGTGTTTGCAACTCCTTGCAATGTGCTCTTGCCGCATCTGGATGAGTTAAGCCTACCTAGTGAGGTAGACCCTTTGCATTAATTACATGAACTTTTGTATTGTAGTCTCTAAGTGTTGAATGGTATCTTACCCTTCTTAAATTGTATGGGCTTAGTGAATTTAGTGGTGGGGCTTAGGAGAAGAACTAACCAGTCCTTGCTCTTTCAGAAAGAGCACATGGGAATACCCTGCACTAGAGCACACAATGCTGTCATGTGCCAATCTAACAGTTTAGCCATAACATCTCAGATAGAGAAATACTTTGTTAAAAACTACTGTCAAGGTATTGTGGAGCCTGTTGGAAAAAATATAAGAGGAGAGTGTGTTTTACATGTATTGTAAAATACTCTTTTTTAATATCCATCCACACTCGACCGTTGTAATGGTAGTTGTTCCCAGTAGTGACTGTCATGGCAAGCAGAAATAACTTCTATAACTGGAAAAAACAAAAACAAACCCACACTGCTTGCTGCAAGCTAAAATTTGCCATACACTTTTCATAACTTATTCTTTGCCACACAATCATCTGTTTCTCTTTGTTCTTGTTAAATATCATACATGTTTGTGCCAAAATGTCAGGAAAAAAAGCCTACCACATTCAGAATTTCCTGAGGAAATCTGATAGAAAGACTATTATAGACCTAGGTTTGACTCTGGGCAGTATAGACTTTTCTTGGCAGTGCTTTGTGATAAATAAGGCCTCAATCCTGCAAGCACTTATGCACGTGATTAACTTTTAGACATGCGAGTAGTTCCACTGAACTCCATGTGACTACTCTTGTGCGTACTTGTGTGCGCGTTTGCAGAATCATGGGCTGTCTCTCATAACTGGGCAGTGAGTTTTTGATGCCATTGCAGATGCACTTCAAATGTTTGCATGTGTCTGGTCTATGTACTAAGACTTTTATTACATACCCTGGTACCCATTTCTCTACTGGCCAAAATAATTGGTTTACTAACTCAATGTTGGTATTTGGAGGCATCACCAAGGAAGCCTTTCTTTAGTATGCATACTGAACAAATTCTCCTAGATTTACCCTGCTACACAAATTTTCTTTCCCTTCCTGCAGGAGAGTGTCTATGCCTTCAGTTTCACATTCAAAATGTCTTTCAGGAGATTCCTTGCCGGTTTTGTTTTCTCATAGCAACTAAAGGGATGTCTTGGAGAATGACTGTCCATCAAACCTCTAATGTGTAATTCATGCTCATGGCTGAGAATTCCCAGGCAGACTTGTGCTCTCACTCCAGACTCTTCTCCTCCAACTTTGACTAGAGTTTTCGTGAAGCATCAGTGCTTGAGTCAGAGTACTGGAGGGTTCTGTCATTCACTATTTCTACAGTGCGTTTGAATTTGTTGAACTATGAATGCCTGTGATTCATGCACTGCGAGGGGGTCTGAGTAGTATGGCATTCATGAGCCATTTAAAAAGAGGTCTGACTGTCACTTGGATTGATTTGATATAAGTTGGCTTCTTTCACTCTAGAGATGAGCTTTTGACATAATGGCATGGAAAGATACAGAGCTGTTTTGAATTGCTGTTGTGGTTAGAAAAAATGCTATGTAAAAGTGGCCCCTGGTTTTTTCCATGACCATCTATAGTCAGATTTACTTATTTCGCTGCATGAACCCCATTTTACTTCCTTACATAATCACGGAGAATGCTGGACTCTATTTTCTCTGGTGCCTTAGTAACAAAAGTGGCCTCCTAAATTCTGATTGTCAAATCTTTAACTAGTGATGGTGTAAACCAGAAAAATCCCAGTTTGACTTTCAGATTGAATTAGCAGGGTAGCAGCTATGGAAAGGGGGCAGGTTCATGGAAAGAATCTTCCTTTCAGGGTCTGATATGCATGTGGACTTCATTTAGCAAACCAGGTATCTGTTTGATTTGGCAGAGGGTAAAAACCTGCTAACCTTTATGAATATATAGCACAGAAAGCTGCATTCAGATTACAGTGGTACACTATGGTTACCAACATCATCATTCCTGTAAAATGTAGGCCTTTTAGTACAGTTAGATAAAATAATAAGGGGAAAATTTGCCTTAATTTGAATATTAAATTCCTCCCCTTTCCCTTCTTTGCCTTCTCACTATTAGCTTTATGGTTTTAAAGTCCCCTTAAGTTCAGGTACAAAGTACTATGTACCTTTTAAACAGTTGACAAAATTAGAGGGGGGAAACTTTGCAATCCAAAGGTTTTGTGTTGCAGAGTTTCAAGTGGATATTGTTCACATAAAAGCTTGTTCCCCATCAGGTTTGAAATGTACTTTGTGTGTCTTAATCATGCCATTTGTGGGTGACACTACTGAAAGGGAATAGATAGCACTTGGGCGTAGCTTATTGTAATCAGCATTGCTCCAGAGGTGCCTGTGGGTTGTTTTGTTTTATTACTTATTTTCTAAAACTTTATTATTGTAGCTTTGATATGTAGCACAAATGTATGCAGTCGATCATGCCTTAGCTTAGATTACATATCTGTACTGGAATAGCCTCTCATTTATCTGTAGTCTTGGCTAGATTACCAGGATTTCATACATTTTTGTTACAAGCACAGAGTCAGTAGCAGGAACTTTGACTCTTTTTAATTAGTGTAGCCATACACAAGGGCACGGCTGCTGGCAGACGTTACAGATGGCCTTGTGATTTTTAATGACTGTGGTGAATTTTTTTATTAATATTTTGGTCAGAATTGCAGTGTGTATTTTGTGTTTAGCTTGTCTTAGAGTAAAATCCAGTGGTATACATTGATTTAATCAACAGCTACAACGTAGGCGTGTGGGAGGAATTGGAAGCATATCCAACTTTCCTCAAGGTTCTTGCCACAAACATTTATCCAAGGAATGATGATGGATGGGTGACCTTAAAGAAATAATTTCTATTCAGCCAGTTTCCTCTCCTCTTAGAGTCAAGTATACTTGGAACTGTACAGAGACACTCTCTAGGGTAACAGATTTACATAGTTGAGTCTGAAGCAGCTAGTGTATACGTCCGTATCTCATTCCAGTTAGTAACTGGAAGAAGCACTAGGAGGTAGAGCATAGCTCTGTGGATGACTTCAACAACACAGAAAATATCTCAGTGTGAGTTCTCCTGGTACTCTGAGGCCCTGGGTAGGTAGAAGGAATGGAATATCAAAATAAACTGGTCTAAGCTAGAATGAGAAATTATTAGTCACCATGTAGTAGTTGACTGAGCTGTATGGTTAAGAAATTCAGTATATTCTTATACATTTTAATATTTATCGAGTTTCTTAGAAAATTCAAATGAATCAAATATTTAATTTTTAACAGAGCGCTTCAGGGTTGAAATGAAAGATCTGAGATTTCTCATGTGCTCCTCTCTGATGCTGTTATGGGAGCAGCTAGACATCTGTCCTAGAACTGGTCAGCAAATTAAACAAAATATGGGCTTCTGTTCCATTTGCTTCAATTTGCTTCAATTGTTTGGATGGCTGTTCTTTTGTCTTCTAACAGTAAGTGTTGTACACAGGTTGGCCATTGCACTGCGCTCTTCAGGTCTTCTCATTTAAATATTTTACAACAAAATGAGGCTTTAAAAATAATAAATGAGTACTCAGTAAATGTTTTGGTTCATCTTTCCTCCTGTACGGGACTACTGGATGAAGTTGCACCATTGCATCCTCTTTCATCTTGAGACTGGAGGAGGCCCATCTCTTTGTTGCTGGAGGGAATTGTTTCCCCTTCTTGTTTATGAGCATGTTTGCCTTAGTACTTAGATTTTCTTAACTTGAGATTGTACGTTAATGAATGGTGCAGTTGCCTATGTGCTTTAGCTTAAGCATTATTCACCTGTTACTAAAGGCCTGTACCATGTATGCCCTCTTATTTCATATGTGAAACTGTTCTATTTTTGTCATTTTAATAAACTTTAATTTTAAAAATAAGGCTCTTTAGCAAGTAGATGTCATTGTACTTAAAGACATGAGAATTGAGCTGGAATACATTTGCAAGTCTAGAAATCACAGTTCACAATGCAGAACCAACAGTATCTTCAGCAACTAAAAATGTCCTTAAATTGTGTGTATAAATATGAGATTGCACACAAAAAAGACTTCCTTTTAAAGTTTTGCAAGTTTTGCTGTATGATATATGAAATCTCAACAGGTTTATTTATTTCTTTTTATTTACCACTTGATTGGAAAATAGAGAAGCATCATGGTGTTAAGATAAAGAGATATGCTGCCAATTTCAGGAAAATCAAACAGGGCTAACTCTTCAGAACTTGCCTAATACATCAAACTGTGTCCTTGCTCATCAAGCAGTTTTGAAATGTGGAAACTCATTGTTGTCAAAGACCTGTGGAGTACATAGAACTATCTATAGCTTTAACCCTGACCTCTGTTTCTAAAATGACTTGTATTTACACCTCTGAGAGTTAAGCATCAGGTATAAAATCCTTAAATCTTAGTTTGAAATATCATGGGCAACTCATCCCTTCATTTTTCCAAAGGAGATAAATGTAAGTGGATGGATCTTGATGTCCACATTATAGCATCTAAGGCAGGGCTACTCAACTTTGGAAGCCCCTGGGGCCACAGTGATACTCACAGCACATGCCCAGGGCTGCAGCTTAAGTGTGGTTGCATATTCATGCAAATATATATACAAATATATGCACATAGCTTCTTTCACATTGACGGGCATGAATACAAAGCACTTCCCACAATGCCCTGGTGCTCCTGGCACCTCCTCCCTGGGGTCTAGAAACACTCACACTCTGTACTCGTCTGTTCCAGCCTGTCTGCTCGCGTCTTTCAGTGCTCACCCTGCCTGGGAGACACCTCACCATTGTGGAGCGTGTTCCCAGTGGAGGCGATGTTCAAAGGATCCCACCCATGAGTCACATGTTGAGCCTCGCATAAACTCAAACTGCTCTGCAGGCCACAAACAAACAAGCCGCGGGCCGCATGCAGCCCACAGGCCACGTGTTGAATAGCCCTGATCGAGGGCCTTTTCCCAATTGAGTTCTATATACAGCATATGCAGGTTGAACCTCTCTAATCCGGCACTGTCTGGTCTAGCAACATCTGTGGTCCAGCATTATTTTAGTTAAACAGATGATCTCTTATAAGGGGTGTGGTCAAGTTTCCTGTAGTCCCATAAAGTTTGTTTACAGCCCCCAGTCATGGCTCTCAGGGTTCTGTGCAGTTATTTAGCTCTAATTTACACCTAAATACGAGTAGTCCTGTGGTGTCTTAGAGACTCACAAAAAAAGTATAGTATTATGAGCCTTTGTGAGCAAAGCCCACTTCTTCAGATGAGCCTGAGAATCATCATAAACACAAAGCAGTACTTAATGGATAAGATGCCGTGTTTTGTCACGGAGTCTGTGGCTTTCTGCAGCAGCCAGCGTGCCTGTCCTGGGGGCTACCTGAGCAACTCAGGCAGTCCCCAAGCCAGGTGCACTGACTGCTGCTGGGGTAGTCTCTGGCATTGCTGCCTCTCCAGCAGTAGGAACTTGGGAGTGGAAGGGCACAGGTCTGGGTGTTGAGGTGTGGGGCAGTGCTCCTTGGAAAGGAACTCCCCTCCCTCAGCTCCTAGCTCCATGTGTTACCTAAGCCCCCGGGCACTGCCCCTGCAGTGCCCATTGGCTGCATTTCCCAGCCAATGGGAGTTGCAGAACAGGGGCAGTATGTTGAGCTAGAAGCTGGAGGTTGCCACTTCACAGGAGCTGGGTAGGGAGCCTGCCCTAGCCCCACCAACCCCAGTCCTTGAGCCATGCGCCCTCTGGGCCATCCCCTTAGCAGATCCCCACCCCTAAGTTTTGGGAGTATATAGTAAGTCATGGATAGATCACAGGCCATGAATTTTTGTTTACTGCCCATGACCTGTACATGACTTTTACTAAAAATACCTGACTGAAATGTAGCCTTAGTAATGGATAGGTCTGTAATCAGGTTGTAATATGACTTTCATTGTGATAGGTGGGTTAGAAGCCCTTCCCCCTTCCTTTGAAGTAATAAGTAGGGCTGTTGATTGATCACAGTTAATTCACATGATTAATTAAAAAAAAAAGTAGTGATTAATTGCACTGTTAAACAATAGAATACCAGTTGAAATATATTCAATATTTTGGATGCTTTATCTACATTTTCAAATCTATTGATTTCTATTTCAACACAGAATACAAAGTGTACTGTGCTCACTTAATACTTTTTACAAATATTTGCACTTCAAAATGATAAAGAAATTGTATCTTTCAGTTCCCCTCATCCCCAGTACTGTAGTACAAACTCTTTATTGTGAAAGTGCAACTTACAAATGTAGGAATTGTTTTTGTTACTTAACTGCACCCCAAAACAAAACAATATAAATCTTTAGAGCCTATAAGTTCACTCTCCTACTTCTTGTTCAGCCAATCACTCAGAAAAACAAGCTTAGTTACATTTACAAGAGACAATGTTTCCTGCTTCTTATTTACAATGTCACCTGAAAGTGAGAACAGGTGATTGCATGGCACTTTTGTAGCCAACATTGCAAAGTATTTATGAGCCAGATATGTTAAACATTCATATGCCCCTCTGTGCTTCAGCCACCAGTCCAGTGGAAATGCCTCCATGCTGATGATGCTCATTAAAAAAATTAATTACATTTATGACTGAACTTGGGGGAGAGTTGTCTGCTGCTCTAGTTTTACTCGCATTCTGCCATATATATCATGTGATAGCAGTATCAGTAGATGACACAGCAAATGTTTGTTTTAATAACATTTCACAGCAGAAGCTCCAGGGGGTAGCTGAGTTAGTCTGTACGGGATAAACTTAAAAAACAACAAATGGTCTGGTAGCACTTTATAGACTAACAAAACATGTAGATGGTATCATGAGCTTTCATGGGCACAGCCCACTTCTTCAGATGACTGCGAAAGCTCATGATACCATCTACATGTTTTGTTAGTCCATAAAGTGCTATCAGGGCATTTGTTTTATAATTTCACAGCAGATTTGACAATAAGTACCAATGTGAGATTTCTAAAAGTAGCTATAGCACTTGACCTAATGTTTAAGAATCTGAAGTGCTGTCCAAAAATCTGGGCGAGAGGAGATGTGGAGCATGCTTTCATAATAACTGTAATGCAGAAACTACAGACTTGAACCACTAAAAAGAAAAAACAATCTCTTATTGGTAGCATCCGACTCAGATGATGAAAATGAGCATGTGTCGGTCCATTCTGCTTTGGGTTGTTATTAAGCAGAGCCCTTCATCAGCATGGTCCCATCCTCTGGAATGGTGGTTGAAGCATGAAGGGACAATTGAATCTTTAGCACATCTGGCATGTAAATCTCTTGTGATGCAGGATACAACAGTGTTATGGGACATTGCAGATGACATTGTAAACAAGAAATGAGATGCACTTTCTCCTGCAAATTGTAACCAAATGTATTTGTCTGAGTGATTGGCTGAACAAAAAGTAGGACTGAGAGGACTTATAGGCTCTAAAGTTTTACATTGTTCTATTTTTTGAATGCAGGCTTTTTGTACATAATTCTACATTTGTAAGTTCAACTTTCATAATAAAGAGATCACACTACAGTACTTGTATGAGGTGAATTGAAAAATACTGTTTTTTACAGTGCAAGTATTTATAAACAAATATAAAGTGAACACTGTGCTCTTTGTATTGTGTTCTAAATTAAAACAATGTATTTTAAAACATCCAAACATATTTAAATGGCATTCCATTATTGTTTAAGAGCACAGTTCATCAAGATTGTTATTTTTAATCACTTGACAGCCCTAGTAATAAGATCAACAAATAAGGAATTTGCTGTCTAATCAGGCTTCCTACAGTAGAAACTTGTTGCAGTTGTATTTGAAAGCTTTACGTGCCTTAATTATCTGGGAAAAAAAGGCCTGAAGCAGCAACAAAAGATACAGCATGATGCAAACTTATGGAATTGGACAATCTGTCTTCAGAAGTTAAAACATGTATGCTTTGGAATTGCCATGGGGAAGTTGCACGCAGGAACTTTATTATGCACAACTCCAGTCCTTCGTGACTTTTGCATTTTTGTGAACCATAGCATTCATCAGTCACCCCCAAAAGCATACAGCACTCGTATCTCTCCTCTTTGGGGGCTACATCTCATAATGGCAAGACTAAAAATAGCTCTTTTCAACTCTTGTCTTGTAAAACTACAGACCTTGGTTACTAAACTTTTCTGGATGTGTGTGTATAGATAGCCCATTACCTAGAGTTGCATATATGCATCACTTAGCAATGGTACAGTTGTCTTGGTTTTGAGTTGAACATCATCTGTGTGTACTATTCTTCCTCTGCAGAACTTTCAAACCTTGTGCTAGAAAATGACTCCAGTTGTGTTTTCAGAAATGAACCATAGTTTCTTCTCTTAGTGCTTGGTCATGTCCATTCTAGTTGGGAGTGTGCACGCTGCGTACATGGATTCCAGAGCTTTTTTCCCTTTAGCAGTATCCATCAGGCCAGCCAGGGAGCCCCCTGGAGTGGCACAGGCATATCGGTGCATATATACCCCTGCTGGCGCTCCACCCCTCAGTTCCTTCTTACCGCCTGTGATGATAGCTGGCGCACTTGGCTATGTCTGTCTCTTAGCGTGTAAATACAGTTCTTAGTATTGTAGATTAGATTAGTTAAGTTGAGTAATTAGTTTAAAGTTGACTGTTCTTATCAGGGGAGTTTCCCCTTCTTATCTCTCCCATCCTGGGGAGGGGAAGCCTGGGGACCGCACGGCTATGTCTAGACTATGCCGAAGTTCTGAAAGAGGATATGCAAATTCTGTGGAAATTTGCATATCTTCTTGCGATCTCACTTTCGAAAGCAAAGCTTTCAAAAGTGAAAGTAGTCGGGACGTGGGCTTTTTGGGGTTTTTTTTTGGCAGACCCCTCCCCCTTTCGAAAAGTGGCT